GTATATATATATATATATATATTATATAATTATATATATATATATATATATATATATATATATATATATATATATATATATATTATATATATATATATATATATATATATATATATATATATGCCTTGCGCAAAATTACATCAGCATACCATGTCAACGAACAACTCAAAAATTCGCAAAAAGGAAGGAGTCACAACCTGAACGTGAAGTATTCGAGGTGACGAAATATTGATCCCACACTTATGGGCGGAGTTTCGTCCGACATCCAGCACATAATCGGATTCGATATGAATGCAAACATAGATCAATATCATGAGTTGTAACGAACTTGAGATTAGGAAGATGTACACTTATTGTAGGCACACATCACAAATGCGGCGAGAGACCGGAACCATGTCTACCTGGGTACACACAGCCGGCATGTGAGCAAGTGACAATGGTAAGTTATTGGTACACATCCAGAGTTTTGCGGCTACATAGCACCACGAGTTCAGTACATACATCCATGCACATTCGACTTTGGTTAACCGAGCTGGGCATCTGCTGTGTGCACGTATTTCAAGCACAGACCACACCACACAAGTACTAAACTATCTGGAGGGCACACAGCCTCGATATGTGCAATAGGGGACTATGCATTGGTGAGCATGCATTGTATACATAGATCACACATACACAAGTACTAACCTATCTGGAGGGCACACAACCTCGATATGCGCAATAGGGGACGATGCATTGGTGAGGAGGTCGGAGTGTAGTCCACTCAGCACCCGCATGGCAAAGTCGTCTGTGCCCATGAACAGAATATTCTGCTTTCTCAGCGGTGTGGAGTCGGTTGACACTAGAGTGCACGAGTGGGTTGGACAAAGATATTTAGTGTACAAATAATTTGAACAAAGATATAAATCTATCGGCTGTCCCCGTAAACATAACATTATGCTTTCTCAGCGGCGTGGAGTCGGTTGACGCTGGAGTGCATGAGTAGTTTAGACAAAGAGGTTTAAGTACAAGTAATTTACACAAAGATATAAACATATCGGCTGTACCATAAACAGAATATTGTGATTTCCTCAACGGTGTGAATTCTGTTGACAGATGGTTTGGAGAAAGGGTTTAGTTTACATGTGGTTTAAATAAAGAGACATACGTGTATGGTCGTGCTGAAACGCACGAATTTTAGTAAACGTATGAGTAGGTATTAATCATGTTCTGTTAGGGGTTTAGGGTTTTAGAGTTGAGAGGTTTAAGATATCCCAGCAGTTTGTGTTATAGCTTTGGAGGCTCCTCTGGGAGCTTTGGCTAATAAAAAGTGGATATAAAAATACGTCTGAGTCGTACAAAGCAATCAGAGTTGCATTGGAATGGATCCCGGCGACGCGATACTACGCTTTCTACAAATATGCAGTGTATGGCAATACATGCACACACGGACAGTCAATTTGTGTCATGCAGATACTAGGAAGGAAACAAACATACAAGACAATGTACGCTCAAATAGGTGTTAGCAACCAGGGACAAAGCGATTGAATGGACAAGAACAGAGGATCAACTCCAGTTGTATTCTGGGTGAGGTAGGTATAGCATCTGAGTCTTAGAATATAAAATGTTTGACTCCTATACAGAGGTATCTTTGAGAAGTTTCATAAATAGCACCAAATGTCTCAAAAAATTGTAACTGCTGACACAATTATTTATAAAGCTACATACCTATACACCTATA